ATTTTCTACTGTTTTACGATACGAAACGACCGCGTTTATACGTATATAGTTTTCTCGTCATATCTTCAGCATCAGTTATACGACTGGATATTGTACCGTAATATATACTTCAGTTATACAAACGTATCGGCTGTTAATACTTTTACTTCAGCCTGTGCTCGTCGGATTCGGCCGACGACGGTGTGTAGCCGACATTATAGAGTCTCAGTTATATCGTCATGAATTACGGTTCGTGCTTTTATGATAACGCGAAGGTTGTTATAAATAATTTATCAGAGGCCTAACGCGTGTCGCGTAACACGCGCGATCACCTGGCCGCGGCGCCAGTGCCGTACGTACATGTACGTACGTATTATAGAGAAAAACCGACGATAAGATCAGTCTCGCTGGTGTCGGTGTACTCGGCTTCAGGATCGCCACCGAACCCGATCGTTCCGCGTGGGTGGCCTGCCAACCTCCTCTCCAACGCGCTGCAGCCTTCCACCACCACCACCATCATTCGGCCGTGGTGTGGTGTGGTACCGGTGGTGCGTGTTCGCGCAGGCCTCTCTTCTCCTCGGATGATGAATGATCCCCGCGTACCCCCCCGGTCCCCCTTCACCACGCGACTCGCACTCTGTCGTGGCCCTACCGGCTCTCTCCGCGTCCACCTTCGGCCAACGCGCTCTCGTCCGTTCTCTCCTCTCCTCTCTCCTCTCCCACCCGCCCTCCGCGCCGTGTTCCACCATGGATATACCCTCTCCCCGTCTCGCATCCCCCGACCACGTCATCGAGCAGCCTCGCGCTCCGGTGGGTTTCGCTCGCTTCCACTCCCTCCCGTCGCCGCCGCCGCCGCCGCCGCAGCCACACGCTCGTTTTATTTCTCGTTTATTTTTCCCACCCGCGAACCGTCGAGATGCAATTTGCATCCGAGCTGCTGCTGTTGCCGCCGTCCCAGCCGGTTGCCGCGAGCAACAACCGGCGTAGAAGCGAGCGACTCACCACCGGCGGGAAAATTGTTTGTCGAGAGAGGAAGGAAATTTTAGTAAATTCGATCGAGACTGCAAACGACAATACGAATTGTTCTATTATCTTCGTGCTAGGAAACGCGAGGAAAGAAAAATCGATCGCTGCACCCCGCTAATATAATAATAATATAAGCGATCACATTGCGAAAAAAATAAAAATTCTCTATATTATTTTGTGACAATTCTCATTGGCGCATCTCGCATTGACAATCGATGTATTTTATTTCGACAACAATGCAATTTATTAGATTAAATGAAAATATACATATAATAATGATATGTTATATGAGTTTTGAAGGAGGCATTTCGGAGGCGTTATGTTTACATTCGATATTCACGCGCGATGAAACCCATTCACGCCAATAGTCCACGAAAGGATCTCCCCCGAATCCACATTGTAACCGCACGGTCGTAATATCCGATTAACAGCGCACTTCAAGTAAATCCACACGACTTTTGAACGCGCGGCTATATAAGTGGGATACAGTAGTCCGTTAAATGGCAGACTTCGCCACGGGTGACGACTGTGAAAGACGACAGTGACACGTCTCGGCAACAAACCGCTTCAGACAGCACCATAGAAAGTGCTATACGGGGCGAGACGCGGGGAAGAAGCGAGGGAGACGGAGCAGATTGTATATATACCGGAGAGAGAACTGGCTTGTCCCTGCGGTTCACAGGAGACACGACTTGACGACTTGCGCGCGAGCTCTAGCTTCTCTCTATCCGGCTACCTGAAAAACGACCCGTAAGATGAAGGAAGAGGGACCGGGAGGCCCGACTGCCCCCCCAGGCTTCATATTTTATGCTTTTAGGGGATCCTTTATGTGCTCGACTACGGGGGCACCCAGCGTGTCGAATAGAATTCGGGAGGCTCGGTGTATACGCGATAGGTATTTTGACATGCCCGAGAAATTAGTATAATAAAGGGGACTAAGTAAAGCGTCTAAGTGCCTAAACACACGCCGTAAATCTCCCCTTCCCTCGCCGCCGCGCCGCTTCGCACCGCACGTCTCGCCGTGCCCGCCCTGTCACCGATCCGCGAACGTGCATACCCCCGTCGATCGGGTCGCCACCGTGGCGAAATTGTCTCGTCGAGGACCACTTTGTGGCGTTTGACCGATCGGCATGCACCCCAGACGCGGGCCTCCAACGGTTCCCCATCGAGTCTTCGACGCTTTTATTATACTGCTCGTCGTAACGTCTAACTTTTCCCTCCTTCACCACCGCCATCCCGTCGCGTCTCGTCACTCCTGACGATAATACTCGCGGAAACTCGATCGCGTTTTACCGTTCCCGGCGAATATTCCGCGATACGTGCTTAGAGTAAAAATTCACGCGAAACACTGAGGTGGAGGCGTCGGTATATCTAACGTAGCGAAATGTCGATGGTGCTGTTAGTAACATTTATTTTCGTCAACTTTTACTAACTACAAATGCCAATATAATTGTTAACGAATGCTACTGAAGTGAGTATAGAAATTTTCGATTAACATTTTAAAAATTAAGTTGCAGACATCATGCAAGAGAATAATTTACTTTTAAAATGCTTTCCACATTTGACACAAGTCGACACGAGTGTCATTGAATGCCAATTAAGAATAATAGGACGACGCAATGTTCGTGTCGACTTGTATCACTGAGTGGAAAGCACTCTTATACCTAATGGTTCTCCTTTACAATACTATATTTTAAGTATTTAGTATATTGAAATAATTACAGTAGAATTACTAAAACAATCAAAATAACTGGTTTCTAATTTTTTATCAAGTTTATAAAGTATTTTTTGACATTTTTCGTGCGATATGTAAATGATTAAATTGATAAATTTACCTTCTTTCCTCATTTTTTAAAAATGTATATTATAATAAATTTAAGTATATAATAGAAATAGGCCTACATTAATCTTCAGTAGTTCTAATGTTAAGGATGGCTAAATGGCAATATGAATAAGTGTACTTTGTGTAGTAAAGGGACAAGTTGGTCTCGTAACACTCTGGAAAGATGAAAATCGCGATGAGGGCATTATCAATCATGTCGCAGATGATGGAAAGGTCGGCGCAATCCTGGCGTAACGATGGAACACGTGAGTTAACGTCAAACGGAAAAACCGCGGAAGGGAGACACGCGTATTACGTTGTGGGGTCCAAGCAACTCTCTTCCGAAAGATACGATCTTTTTCGCGCAAATTACAACGTACAACTGGCGTAAACGGATTGTGCACTGTCGACGGTTATACCACCCGGCAGGGTCCTCATGATTATTCCCAGCACAGACGAACCCTCCCAGCCGTTTTCCAGAACCGCTCGCGAAAGCTTTTAGCTGCGTATATATTACGTGCCGGCGTATATCCCTGGTTTTCGGCTTAAATAAATTCTCTTCACGCTACGGCTGCTGCTCCTCTCTCCGGGAAAATCAACGCGAGAACACCTTCCGTCAGAGAGATGTACAACCGTGCGTGCGAGAGCTCAAGAGAGCTGTGGTTACCTTAATTTTCCTCAAACAAACTCTTTATATCTCCGCCCTTATCTCACGCGAATCAATTTTCATGCTCGACAGAGCAACGTTCAACCACTCGTTAAACTCGTACAACGATCCAACGTGATTACAACGATCATCAAGTCAAACGTTCTCCCGATCTCTGTCTTACTTGTACCGGTAGGGATAAATCGTCTAATTAGAAGGCATCTATAAACTGGTACGCGCGGTGGTGATGGTGGTGGTGGTTTAGGTGCTCGCGTTAATCAACAGACAACGGATCATCGTGACTCCTGCTCCCCTCGCGCAGCCTCGTGTTCTACGCCACTGCGAGAGTGCGGCGGAGGTACATACGTAGATACGTATACGAACGCCAGCCATCCGGCGCGAGAGGTCGATCGATCTCTCTTTCGTCGTTGCGCGGCCACCGTGTCGCTGCCACGCCACTCCGAGATACCCACGTCGCCGTCACCGTGTTGGTGGGGAGGTCGATGTCAGGTTCGACGGTGGTGGTGATGGTGGTGGTGGTGGCGGTGGTGGTGGGGTAGTGATGGTAGTGGTGGTGGTGGTGGTGGTGGTGGTAGTGGTGGTGGTGGTGGTGGTGGTGGTGGTGGTGGTGGTGGTGGTGGTGGTGGTGGTGATGGTGGTGGTGGTGGTGGTGGTTGTTGTCGCTGGTTTACAGGGTGTGGCGAGTAAGGAGAAGCGCCTCTCCCTCACGCGCCGCCTTCGTGCGCGTCACGTGACCCCATGGTTCGGCCGATGGTTCGACGGGGGGCAAAGTGAAAGAGAAGTCCAAATGGTTAAGCGTCACTGCCAACCACCAGGCCCCGCCTATAAAGTCTGGTCGATACTGCGCGCGCAAAGCTCCTCTCTTGGCACCGGCTGCGCTACGCTGCGCGAGAAACCACCGTGCCTCGCGGTATCCCCGTGGTGGGGTAGTCGGTGGCGCGTGGGAGGAGGAACGGCGAGCCAGTGGAGTCCGGGAAGTCGAGCAGCGCAGACGCGTTGTGCGCCGTTACGTTCTCCTCGTAAAGTCCAGCGGCTAGTAATCGGCAGCGACGATCAACACCGCCGTGACGACGTAAAGCGTTCGTAATCGAGGTGGACAGTGACAATTCGCGAGTCTCCTCCGGAAGTCTCTTCGCGATAACCGCGCTCGCGATTGCCTCGAGGGGAGAGGTGGAGGCGCCCCTCTCGCGAGCCATCATGTCGATACGGAGGAACGTCTGGTGACAGAAAGAGGAGACGAGGGGAGGAGAGGAAAAGACGAGAGGCGAGAGAGACTTAATATGCCTGGTCGCACGTGAGGGTGTGGTGGTTCTCTTGACTTTCCTTAAAAGAAGAGAGGAAAGCGGAGGACTTCGCGGTGAGAGAAAACCATTGGAAGGACGTGAGGGACGAGAGCGACGGCGCGGATCGATCGGAGTAAAAGAAGATCGGAGTAAGAAGATCGGAGTAACGAGAGACCGAACGCGTATACGAGTATAAGTGTCGTCGTCGCGCGCGCGAGGAGGGATGCCTACGAAGGGGGAGAGGGGAAAAGCGACGGACTTCAGCATCGCGGCCATCATGGCGCCCAGGGGTCCGTCCTTCGGGCATTACCACCTGCAGGGCATCGGCAACGCTGCTGCCACCGCTAATACCAGCCTAGAATGCCCAACCGGCAAGGGATTCGTTGCTGGATCAACATTGGATCATCGTGAGTCTCTTTTTTTTTCATGGATATAGAAATCGCGCCAACTTCCTCAAAAATACCCATTTTTTATTGTCAAGAGAGATGCGTTTACTGTCACAGACTACTCAATATTGTTTCCATAATATCTGCATATTATTATTGTTTGTAAACATAATCATGAGATCCATAAAATCGAATATGTGTGATCTATCTCTCATTGAATTCACAAAGCGCGATGTTCTTTTAGGAAAAGATAAAGAAGCTGTCATTTGGCTACAATTTTATAACAGATAGAAAGAATTTTTGAAAAGCGGAAGCGGCAACCACATTTCAGAAAAGTCCGATCGCGTGATTAGGATTATTCTCAGCTTATTTATTGATAATAATTATCTGAATGTTAATTCTATGAATCACTTGTTGTTGACATATATGTATATAGTATAATGACGGCTAATATAAATCCAGCCAAGTGTGTGATAAGATAAAAACGTTGACAAACAGGAAGTCTTCAATCGTTTGTAAACATTAAATCGCTCCAAATATCGCTATAATGGAGATAACACTAATTGACTTTTGTGACTTTTCGTGAACCGTGCTTTTCACGATTCAAGATGGAGTCGTTGGCTTCGAAGCCGCGATCACACGACGTTCTTTCTGCCGCTCGGGGGCTTTTGTACATTTAACGTGGCATTTGTACATTTGACATTTCCGAAGGGGCGCACGACAGCGACAGCGACAGTGTGAAAGTGTGCGCGAGAAATAAACTGTCGCAAACGTAACGCGGACGCGCAGAAGAAGCGAGGCTGATGGAAATGTCAGACGCCGAAGTGATAAACGCGAACGCGCGTCGTTCCGCGCGTCGCTTGCCCGGCAGCGATGTGCTCGTAAACGGTGGAACGCACTTTGCTACATCGTCGTAAAACAATTTAATCGTATCTTCACGGTGACGTAAGGCACCGTAATGTAGTCCGTCACGAAGACAGGTCCTAATTCCGTACAGTCGAGAATGAGAATGTGCTCAAGAAAATTTGTTCATCCTCACGATTTTCATAGCTTTCAATTACGTCCTTCACAATGAATCAGCATTTTCGTCCACGATTGTCAATTATAGATTGTTCCTAAAGTTCTCAATGGCCGTTTTGTAGAAGATTAACAATCTTTTGAGTAATTCCGCGTGAAAAAGTTGAGGATAGCAACGAGAAGATATATGTGATTTTCGAAGGTCTTTATATTTTGTTAAAACATATATTATTTTTAATATAAACAATATATATCTATTATATTATTTTTATTATATAATGTGGAAAAACGTTCGAGAAATGTGTAATCAATTTGAAAAACAAGTTGTCAAGTTCCTAAGGAAATGTTGCTATTTATATGAATTCTAGAATGCTTTCTCCAAATTTTCGTCTGATTCTTATCTCTTGTCTCTCTTTCTCTCTCCCTCTCGCCTTATCAGTGTACCTTATCAGCTACTCTATTAAAAGTTATTATTATTCTTTATAAGTTGGAATTAAATTGTTCGAATAATTTAATTCTAACAATTGTTCGTACGTCTGATATTTCGAGAAGAGACACGTACTTCATCATGTGTCATCACGGAAAACTCGATTTAGCGAATCAAACCATCTCGCGGTTGTTAGCGCCGCAATAAAAGTCTTTTCGGGTTGCGAGAGGTTAAGTTACGGGTTCATCTTGGGGATAACTGAGTTTACGATTTAACGAGCTTATTTAGAGCTTGTACTGGTGTTAGAGAGCGTGTACGGCGCCTCCCGGTCTGTCCACATTACCGCCGCGCGCGCTTTCCTATCCGACGGCCTGCGATTCGTCCGAGGCCGAACGGGGCTATTACATTTTCGCATCTGTTAACTTCAACATTTCAGCTATTAGCCTAACTCTCAGGCGAAACGTGCAGACTCAAGTCTATAATCATAGTTATCGTCGATAATGCATCCGCAAACATTTTCGCAAACGCAATCGGTATATTATTATATAATTATTTACGCTGACTTAGGAATGAGGCAAACTACCTAATCAGAAGGAACTTTCTTAAAAAAATTTTCATCAACAACTCAAATCAAATATCTTGGATATAGGATTTTCAAAATCACGAAGGCTTTAATTTCTGAATTGCTCCCCTTTTGAGATTTTTAAAATTTCTTAATAACAATTCTCCGAATTATTTTTTGAAGATACAAACGTATAATCAGAAGAAACTTTCCTAACAAAATTTTTATCAATAATTCAAATATCTTGAACATGTTAATCCTAGGATTTTTAAAATCACGAAGCCTTTAATTTTTTCCTTTTTAAGATTTTAAAATTCTCTAATAGCGATCCCCCGAATTATTTTTCGAAAGATACAAACGTAATCAGAAGGAACTTTCTTAATAAAACTTTTACCGATAAATCAAATCAAACATCTTGAATATATTAATCGTAGGATTTTTAAAATCACGACGTCTTTAATTTCTTCCTTTTGAGATTTTTAAAATTCTCCAATAACGATCACCCGAATTCTTTTTCGGAAGATATTCGAATTCGAAGTTAAGAACTAATTAAAGTCGCGATCGCGAAGTCGGATAAGCAGCAGCTTCGGCCCAGTTTCGGTTTTCCGCTACCTACCTCGTTCGAGGAGTGTTGATTCGCGCGTTGTCCCGTTAATTAGGAATACGCGATTCATCGAGCGGGAGCGTGGCCGGAAGAAAAAAAGCGTTTGGCAGGCCGTGCGATAATTAGCGTCCGAAATAGCGGTTGCACTCATGCAACGGGAACGTCGGGCCACGGCCGCGCTACCGGCGGAATCGCTGCCAACAAATCGCGCGTAAATTTTACCTGTTCGCACCAGAATTAACGAGCGTCCGCTAGACGCGCTAAGTAGATGGTGATCTAGCGAGATCGGATTCTCGAGGCCCCCTTCGCAGATTTATGGTATGCCTTCCCGGCGACGAAAGAAACTCGATGCAAATTGGGCACGGAGACTCGCAGCCAAGAAACTATACAGAACTGTGAAATTACGTAAGCCAGTTCTTAGATAAAAATGGCCTTGTTGCAAATTCAGTGGACAATTTTATCTTCGTATTAATTTAGGTTAAGAAATAGAATTATCTTGTTTAGAATCTTTTTTGTGTAATGTTTTTCGTGGAAAAATAATCATTACGATTGAATCACAAAGTAGTAAAATTGTGACGTCATTAAAATATGATAATAAAATATGAACAAATAAAAATATGGGATCGAAAGAAAAAAAAAGAACAATGAGAGTCAAGATATGTAGATGTCGATACGTAAACTGTATATGAAAATATATAGTTTAATAGTAATATATTTTTATATATTATATAATATATAATATATAATAATAATAATATTTAATTATTCGGTGTCGCTTGCGTTGCATTGCTTAAAATATACGAAAATAAAGTTTAGAAATCTTGATCTCATATATATCTTGATATATTTTAGAAATATAAAGTTCTAACTTCTTACACGTGTATCGAAGGCCTATCTTCCCAGAAATGCTACACAAATTAAACAGGGTTCTTTAGAAATAAAACTTCTAACCCAATAACTCTTACACGTAGGTTATCCAGTTCTAGAGTTTATCAACATTGAATATCCAGAAAAATGGAAAAGCCAAATACATCGTGAGTTAGAGATAATGTCAGTCCCTCTGTAAAAGTTTTCACATACAATACAAAAACTTTAAACTAGCTGATGTATACCATTTTTTTTCCCCACAAGAGATAGTTGCAGAAATTCCGAAGTCTCAATCAAACGTGCTATCTTGAAGACTTATAAGTCTCCCCTTATAAGGGGGGAGGGAGGAGGGGGGAAAGACGGTTCTCGGTGATGAGAAAAATTGTGTGTTTAATTATAAAAAAAAATCCTAGATTATCTGTTGTGAGACACGTGAACGAAATGTAATCGAGCGCCGATCGGAGGACGCGCCACGTGCACGAATATAAAAATCAAGTATAAGGTGGCCAAAGACATAGCATTAGTCATCCGCGGCCAATGCTATCGCCGCTACCGCGTACACTCCGTCGCAGTCCACTATCAGCATCGCGAAATTATTGTCGCGTGTATATTTCCTCGTTTGCGGCCGATGTGTGTATAACGATCGATGCGCGTCGTGTAATTATGAAATTACGAGATAAGAAACGTGTTAACGTATTCAAATGGAGATCGCGTCGCGTCGCATCGCGTCGCGTTGCGTCGCGTCGCCGCGCGTTATCACCTCATTCTCTTTTCAGCGTTTCTGAAAAATGTTAACAAGTTTTTTTTTTATCTTTCGAAAGAGTCACGCAAATACAATTTGCGCCAGTTAGTCCGCGTAGCGTTTGAAAATACATTTTATAAAGGAAGAAGTTGCAGATCCGGGCGACGAGAAATATACAGCGACGGCGGGTTGTCGAGTTTGGGATAAGTTGGGATAAAAAGATGCGCCTTCCTCTCTTTTGTGACCCCTCGTAATAGCGCTTTTTTCCGGTTGATAATCTCGCGCTATTTGCAAGTGGCACGAACTGGAAGAAGCGACGATAAGAAGGGATGAGATGCGGAGGGACGAAAAAGAAGAAACCCGAGAGCGCGCGCGCGGCCTCTCCGGCTGGTTTTTCCATCACGCGACCTGCATTTTTGCGCCGCTCCTCTCCTCGCTCCGAACGTAAATCCGCTCCGGCGGTATGGTTTTTGTCGCCGAGCAGCGAGACTCGTCCGCCGCCTTTCAGCCAGTAATCACATTAGCGCACTTAACGACGCCATTACGCTCGCAGCCGGCGCAATCCGAAGGATTCTTAATCGTCGCCTGCATGCGCTCGCGGGGGCCTCTCTCGCTCGTCCGGCGGCGGCGGCGGCGGTGGGTGTGGGCATTAAATACCGGCCGCGCGCAATTAGAGATTCATGGGATCCGCGATAGAGATCGTAATCGTTGTCTCCGGCGAATCCATTATTCCGCTCGCGAGAGTTGAAAAACGCAAAAAAAGAGTCGCGGCCGTCGCCGTGCGCGCGCGAGTAGGTATAAC